GGTTGGACAGCAAAGTCGACACCTATACGCCAAACCCAACAAGTCGACTATGGCCCGTCATTCGGCTTCTGAGCCAAAACCAACCAAAACCCATGGCCCGCCATTCGGCTCGGATTCTCATTCACCAAAAACCCAGACCATGACCAAAGTCGACACCCATGGCTCCCTCCGATTCGCTCCGCTCCGATTCGCTCCGCGCCGATGCCGAAGCCCGAGGCGCTGAAGGCCGCCTCGGTGGTGGCGCGCTTCTTCGCCGCGTAGTCCCGGCCGTAGAGCTGCAGATGCGGCTGCGAGGCCTCGGCGTGAGGCGTCTCAGCGGCATCCGAGGGCTTCCGGAGTCCGGTGAGCGGAACAAAACAAGCGGAAGCCGGTGGGGGGGCACAAGCCCCCGGTTTTTTTTTGGGGGGGGGCACGGGGCAGGTTTCTTGAGAAAACCGGTTTTTTGGGAGAAATTGTTGAGAAACCAACTTTTTTGGGAACGGGTGGTTTGAGGAGGCTGGGAGTTTTTGGGTGCATTTTTGTTTTGACTAGTTAAAGGGGTGGGGTTGCGGTTATAGAATTGATTGCTTGTTTGTTTGGCTTCTGAGAGAGTTTGCTGGTTGCTTTCGCTGTGTTGTGATTTCTCTGCTCCTTCACTTCTGGGTCCCTAAAACATGCGGCCTTCAGCACCTGAAGTGAAAGTGTCCTTGGGGTTCGCTAAGCCTCAGGAGTACTCCCATGCTACACGTTGCCGCAGAAAACTGCACTCCATGCGACACCAAAACGGCTGATGTCCTGCCCCCCCCCAAAGAAAAAAACATGAAAGATAACATTCACCACACATTCGAAGGCCGCTTTGTGTGGTGGTTCATCCCAAATTCCATCATGTGCTGGCAGGACAGTCCAGGGTATCACAGAAGGGGGCTGAACCCCCCACCTGCAAACCTCCTCCGGTCCCCTTGGTTGCTCGGGGGTCAAAAAATAAAGGGCATACCCTGACTAGCTCCAAACCGCTCAAAGAAGCTGTGGGTCTGGGTCAAACTTAAACCATCCATTTGCCAGGGCTCCATTTCGGGTACCGAGTACCGAGAGAAACCCACAGCCATGTACTTTTCTTCTGGAACCATGAAACAAAAACACATGGCCCTCTTTTTTTTTAAAGGTGTCCAGGGAAGATTGAACATTGTTGGACCCTATGGAGTTCTTCGATCTTTTTCACAGATACCTCACCCTTCCCTTGATCCGGCCACTAGGTGGAGAAACACTCCAATGCCAGTCGCTGGATTTCTGAACCCCTTGAGTGGAAAGAGGGGCATTGCACAGCCATGTACCTGGGTGATTGCGCCAAAAACTATGGGATGATTCCTCATTCTCAAGGATTGAGGGTCCACGTACTCACCATTGAAAGTTTCAAGTTTGGTGTAAAAGGAGGGCTGTCCCGTTTTCGAGGCAAGCCTTCACTTTTCGGGCAAGGATTACACCAGTTCCCATTAATCCAATGGATTGATGAATCCGCGCTCGATATGATTGCAAGCTTCTGAATTCGGGAGGTTGTATGACTCAGGGGTGGCGACCCCACTTTGACTCCCCCAGGGAAACCCTCCGGAAGTATCAAAAATTGAAGACGATACGGAACACAGCATGATACGTACACCTGCGCACACAAACATAAATACCGTAAAACAAATATACAAAGTATGTCGCGAGACATGGCAAAGCAGATCACACGCACAATCCACACATTCACATATCTTCCTGGACATAACTCTATATGCATATGCACACATTATACAATATGTATGGAAATTCCGGACCTCGCAAACTGGCGGGTTGCATTTTGACTTTCCCTTTTATCCATCAAAAAACACATACCTACAAGAATCCCATATTCGCCAAGAGGCAACTCATCTAAATTGGCAACCAAAAGGTCATGTTCAAACCAGCTGAAAAGGACATGCAATGAACATGATCATATAGGTTTGTCTCAAAATAGGAAGGGTGGTTTCCATTTGGCTTCGCGCTGGAATTTTAAAACTCTCATAAGAAGCTCGTAAGGGTGCCCTAAAACAGAAGACACCTGGTGTATATGTTGGCGTCCTTTTGAACCAGAAAAAATGGTAGTGATGTTTAAAGAGGAAATATGGGATTCCTGTAAACATGTGTTTCTTGAGGGTTCCCTTTCCTATAAACAACCAAGGGTTTCCTCTTGGCGGAATTTACCTCTTGAGTATGTTGGGTGGGTGCTGCCAAAGGCGCCGGAGCGCTCGTGTCAAGTGCGGAGCGCATGTTCCCGAGGCGCTGTCTGTGCATCAGTTGCGTCCTTTCAAACGGGGGTCCCTCCGGACAAACCGAACCCCTCGTTTTGCTCTCCGAAGCGCCCGGTTTTCCTGCCTACAAAATCAAGGGTTCTGGGCAGTTCCTCTATGCAAGCATCGCCCGACCTCATTGATCCTCTTTTTTTCTGAGATGGCTATAAAGGCTGAAGGCCTTGCCAGCCTCTTAAAGCCAGGCAGAACCACATACTCAAGTGGGCAATCTTCTGTTCCCTGCTCACTTGCTTGGACCTCCACAAGTCTGAGCTTACACCAGGCAGTTCTGGGAAATGATGTGCCCAACCGCTGGGTTTTGCTGGGTCGTTGGCTAACTACGACTGCCTTGTTACTTGCTGCCGGTGATGGCTTAGCTTGGTGTTTGTCGGTGTGCTCTTGTGCTATTAACCCCTTCCCCAAAAGTGACGGATTTGTTGCAGGTTACCAAGAAACTTCCACACATCTGCTAAAGGCTTGAATAAAAGATCCAACCTGACCAGCACTCAAGTTTCTCATGCATGCTTGCTCGTCTTCGAGTTTCTTTGTTGTGCCCTAGGTTCTAGACTGCCCCCACGAGATCTAGGGCCTCAGCTCGGAACCTTGGATGCTCGGGGCCCTTCCAGGCAAGTCACTGTAGCCGGCAACCAGGTGATGCAAACCTCTAGGTCTTACATGATAGTTTGTCCTGGGTACCTACTAAGAAAAGGCAACTCTTGGTTTGTTATCAACCACTTACTAAGTTGGCCGCGCAAGCGGGAGAACCCAAAACACTTTGTCGTTGCAGGTTCGATAGCTGGCATCCTTCCTTAATTGAGGCGCCATCCGTGTTTCCAACAAGGTACCACTACAGCCTCAAAAAAGGCTTCCTATGTTTCCTCCTCACACATCATAACCCCCTGCCCAAAGAACATGTACCTCAAGCTGACAGCCAACTGTTTGATGCTTCTATTTCACAAGTGGGAACTATACGGGCACACTCCAAGGCTGTTTTGAACCACCTCCAGCACTGGCAATCTTTGCGCAGCACTTAGGGATGCACCCTTGGGCATTGGCAGTCGTTGGGGGTGCTAATGCAAGAAGGGCAGTCTATTGCTTTTAGGGTACAGTACTCTTTGGGGGTTGCCATTTGAATGGAACCCAGCAGCACACACACCCCAACGACTCCTTTTTGCACAGCACTTGGGGGGTTGGACATGGTCGACGGGTGCAGGCAAGGGTTTCCCAGACCAAACGGGGTCGGCACCCGTGCGCGTGTGGATTCAATCCATCAGATCCCCAAACAACCTGAACAAATGTAGTCTCAACTTGGGATGACTCCTTTTGGACTCTGCTAGTCAGCTCCCCCCCCCCCAAAGAAAAGGGAACATGTCCTTCCAGTACCCCTCCATACTGCTTGTTCCCATGTCCAAACAGCAGCGGTTGGGACCCGGGTGCTGGTTCCTTCAAAAACTGTCTGAAGCGAAGTTGACTCTGCCCCCAGATTCAACCCCAGCTTACTAATATGGGGTGTCCAACTGGGCTTAGTGGGGATTGATCACTTTTGCACGGGAACACCCCAGATGATTAAAAAACACAAAAAACTGGGGTTGATTAATATGGGTGTGGCTCAAAATAACACAGGAGGGGCAAACCGCAGGTTTTGGCCCATGGTTCGACTTACCAGGGCAACTCATTTTGGTACCGGTTTTTGGAGCCACAGCCATATTAGGGTCGACATTACCCGCAGCAAAAACCATCCACCAGTTGCACCCGGAGCGAGTAGGACGTCCGGTCCGTCCTGAGCATCTCCCTTCGGCCAATGGCCGGGCAGCCATGGGTGGTGTCCGTGCGGCAGTTCCTCATCGGCCTCGGTTTTTAAACCGAAAACGAAGGACTCGCCTTCTTGGGGCGGGGGGTTGGGGGTGGGGGTGGGGGTGGGTTTCAGCACGTCAAAAGCCCAAACTTGAATTGTTCTCCCTTTGGCGTCCCTTAAGCCGCTGGAAAAGGCACCGACTCCCAAACTCACACACACAAGATTGGGTGTGTCCTTGTGTGAGAGTACTGCTTTGGGATGGATTGAAGTTCAACGGGAAACTCCCAATTTGTCAGACCGCCCTGTTGCTCATACCATCCATTGGCCAACACCCAAGCCGTGTGTGCAGCCAAGCCGCGGCCAAGATGGGCAGTCGCTGGTGTAGGAGAGGCGACAAATGCTGGGTCCGTCGCTCAACGCACGTCTGGACTGATAACAAATGAAAAGCCACTTACACGATTTATACCATGAGATCACCCTCACCATCTGCGAGCCGAAAAGAATTCGGGGAGCGGATCGATGCACCATGCATGGTCTGCCCGTTGATTGAAAAATACGAGCCAGGACAACCCCCAAACTTCCGCAGCTTTGGTTTTGGTTTTTAGGCAAAAGAGTGCTTATGCTGAACCGTAATCACACACGTGGCTGAAATGAATGGACACAGGCTCGGACCGCAGCTCTCACACTTGTTTGCCACAATCAACTGAGCTATGAGATCTTTGACTGTGCAAACAGAAATTCCCTTTTGACCAGCATTCATGACAAATCACACCGGATCACATAAGCAGCGCCCGCCAAAGACCCATTGACTTGTGGTTCTATTATGTAATCACAAGGTTGATGTAGGCCTTACAAGCCACATGAAACCAGGCAGGAGCCGAGCCACCTAACCGGTTTTGTGCGCTACCTAGGCTTCCGGCCAGAGGCATCTGACCTTGGGCCAGAAGGCGTGAATGGCAACCAAAGGAAGTGAGAATAGAAGGTACCCCCCGAAATCGCCAAGTACCTGCTTTGCATTCCGGGATTTGCGGGAATGATGTTAGCCCCTGACTAAAACAAGTAATTATCTCAAACATCTGGCCTGAAACAAGTGGGGAATTCATTGGAGTAGAGGATACCGCTGTGGGCATGAGACAGGAAAACACCAGGCTTCAGCTTTTGCTCCCTGGCCAAAAGGAATATGATCAGGGCTGTGGGGAATGACCACTTCTGTGATACAACAGAAAGGGCTTCCCAAAGACTATTTTGTTCATAGAAAGGGAGATGTTCCTCAAAAGTATCACGGTGGTTGGAGAAACCCCGAGTGATCAACCACAACCCTGAATATGATTGATTCTGTTCCACAGACCTCATGGAACGCAAGTTCAGAGATCCCAGCAACATTCCCCGCCCCTTTTCCCGGTCCAGCGTCGTATTCCAACGACTCCTCGTTGACAACAAGCTGTTTTTTCCCTCCCATATGTCCGGTTGAGCAGACAAGAAATTTTCGGAAAGAACGGGGGTAGTTATCTCTCAACTCCAGATTTCAACCAGGACCTTGCTAGCCAGCAGGATGTTGCTTCTTGTGGGCATCCATTCATTGTAGAATGCTCGGATGAGTACGGTCCCCGGATTCCGCAGATCTGTTTCATGGCATAAAGACTTACGCCTCAGTAAAAAAAAACTGTGCGTTCCTTCCAAGGCTCCCTTAGCCAACAAACTGCTGGTCTCTCACAAAATGGTGTCATGGGTTCCAACACATGGGCTCACACATGAGACTGTCCGCTCTCTGGCGATTGGAACAGGTGAGCCATAGAACCCGCCAACCAATTCCCCAAAAATCAGGAACCAACACCTGTGGACCCCATGGAGCGCCTGTCAAGGACATATTGACATATGCATTTTAAAAAAAAAGAAAAAACTAGACCACGGTTGGCCCGAAAGCAGAACATCGCCTGCGAGGTCGGCCCAACGCTGCAGGATGCGTTCTTTTTCCCTACACGAAGCATTCGTGAAGCAAGCGCGAGACAGCACCAGGCAAGGTGCTCTGTGCAAGTTGCTCTGTGCAAGTTGCTCTGCGCAAGTTGCTCTGCGCAAGTTGCTCTGCGCAAGTTGCTCTAGGCAAGGTGCTCTGCGCAAACTGCAAGTTGGTCTGCGCAAGTTGCTCTGTGCAACTTGCTCTGCGCAAGTTGCTCTGCGCAAGTTGCTTTAAAATGCATGTTGCATCTTGCGACGCCCGCCCGCGGACCAGGGAGGAATCGAACCCGCGACCCGCCGGTTCCGGGAACAGGCGTGCAAACCACGAGACAACTCCCGAGTTTTTGCACCTCGACCACGCCGATTCCCGCAGAGGGTTGCGCGAGCACCGCAGAAATCGCTAAAAAACCATGGGTTTTTGCACCTCGACCACGCCGATCCCCGCAGAGGGTTGCGCGAAATCGCAAAAAACCATGGGTTTTTGCACCTCGACCACGCCGATCCCCGCAGAGGGTCGCGCGGGAACTATAGAAATCGCAAAAAACCATGGGCTTTTGCACCTCGACCACGCCGATCCCCGCAGAGGGTCGCGCGGGAACTTTAGAAATCGCAAAAAACTATGGGTTTTTGCACCTCGACCACGCCGATCCCCGCAGAGGGTCGCGCGGGAACTTTAGAAATCGCAAAAAACCATGGGTTTTTGCACCTCGACCACGCCGATCCCCGCAGAGGGTCGATTTTCGTGTAGTGTCGTCGGCACTACCCCGCCGCCCTAAGAAGAGATTTTAACTCCTCGCAAGTCAATTGCACTTGACTCCTTGCACTTGCAACTTGCACTTGACTCCTTGCTTGTTTGTCATTGCAAGGAGTCATTGCAAGGAGTCATTGCAAGGAGTCATTGTCATTGCAAGGAGTCATTGCAAGGAGTCATTGCAAGGAGTCATTGCAAGGAGTCATTGCAAGGAGTCATGAGAGCCATTGCAAGTTGCAAGGAGCCAAGTGCATGGAGTCAAGTGCAAGTCGCAAGTGCACGTGCAAGTTAAGTGCAAGTTGCAAGTGCAAGGAGCCAAGTGCAAGGAGCCAAGTGCAAGGGCAAGTGCATGGAGTCAAGTGCAAGTTGCAAGTGCAAGGAGTCAAGTGCAAGTTGCAATCCTTGCCATGACTCCTTGCAATGACTCCTTGCAATGACTCCTTGCAATGACTCCTTGCAATGACTCCTTGCAATGACTCCTTGCATGACTCCTTGCAATGAATGACTCCTTGCAATGACTCCTTGCAATGACTCCTTGCAATGACTCCTTGCAATGACTCCTTGCAATGACTCCTTGCAATGACTCCTTGCAATGACTCCTTGCAATGACTCCTTGCAATGACTCCTTGCAATGACTCCTTGCAATGACTTTCATGATGGTGATTCCTTGCAATGACTCCTTGCAATGACTCCTTGCAATGACTCCTTGCAATGACTTTCATGATGCTGATTCCTTGCAATGACACCTTGTAATGACTCTCATGAGAACAACTCAAGTGAACCCAGCGGAAGAACCCTTCGCCATGCTTTCGGGGAAAAAAAACACGCCTGCTTAAGGGCATCCTCGAGATCAATTAGTTGGCGGTTCTTCAGTTTCCCCGGGTATCTTCTGGTAACAATCAGCTCGGGGACTCGAGAACTGGCCTGTCTTTGTCCTTCTCCTTGTCCTTCTTGGACTTCTTCTTTTTGTCATCGCCAATCCAAACCTCAGATCGTAGCTCTCACGGTCCCTTTCCAGCGCGAGAGGAAATCCAAAAGGACCAAGGCCAAGTCGTAGGGTCCGAATCTCAGCTTTGACACCTACCCATGGCCGAAGACCCCTTTGGCCTATGACCAAAGCAGTGGCCACACCAGAAAAATGCTTGGTTGGTTGCTTGCTTGCTTGCTTGGCTTGATGTGGACTCCGCCCTGCCAGGAACAGGCTTCGTGTCGCTGCAAAGATACGGAACAAATACCTCATAGGAATACTCACCTTGGACCAAAACGTTCATTTTAAAAACCAAGGGCCACCAGCAAGCAGTGCAAAAGCAAAGGGAAGGCTCCTCACAGGAGTCTAACAAACCATGAACATCACGGGAACCCAACAAACCTTTGTTGTGCAGCTTCCACGTGAGCAGCCCTGGAAATATGGGTGTTTCGCCCCCAAACCCAGGGACTCCAAGTTCCTTGAAAGACATACAAAGATCAGGTTTGTGGGTTCCCTCCCCAACAAAAAAAACACACGAAAGGAATGCATACGAATCCCGAGAGTTCAACAGATCCCAACCCAGACGTGAAGAAACGCGTCCCCATCTGGCAATCCGCATACCAAGCAGGTCCGCCTTGTTACCCACTTCTTTTCTGGTTCCTTCCTAGCGGAATCCACCTTTTTGTGTTTTAGCGGCATCCACTCATTTGCCCAATGATGTTATATAATGTAGTCTTAACGCACAGAACTCAGTACAGGGCCTCTTGTTTGGCCCGATTCTCACGCCAAACCCACAAAAACAAGGAACACCACACGTCTTAAGTATCTGGGTTTGCAAGATCCTTAGGGCGGCAAAATCAGCAAAATGATTCCTGGTGAAGGACAACAAAAGGAAGCAGGCTATCAACAAACCGCTCTCCGTGATGAGCATGGCATCCAAACCACTCCGTGTCTTGGCCTAAATCAAAGCCATTGTCCCTTGGTGCCGCTGCGATCTGTTAGGGAGCCCAGAATACACGAGTACATCATATATATATATATATGCATATTTCTTCATAGCTTACTTCCCAACAAGCACGAACGGAACCCAGGTGTACCTGGTTGGGCTGTTGATGTCAATCTCGTCAGGCCAGGCCTTTTCTTAAGCACCTTAACCTGCTCAGGGTGTCCCAGAGACTCTTGGCGGATCCCAGCCATACCCTGAGACTAAATAAGCTCAGGTGATATCCCCAACAGCATGCGGTGCTCTCTTAGTGCTCGCACCACCTCGCAGAACCTCGTACCCTGGTAGAACCCTGGTGGAACCCTGGTGGAACCCTGGTAGAACCTTCGTGGAACCTTACCTCAGGGCCGCCCCGGACGACTCCGGAGCCTATCTGGGCTGAGACCCCAAAGCTTCCAGCTGTTGGGGAAAAAGCCTTTGAGAGTTCAGAGGGATGTAAATGACATATCTCCTGGACGTCCATGGCAAACCAGAAGTCCGGCCAAGTCGCATAGAAGACCTTCTGGATGGTGCAGCGCCTTTCGTCCAACGACCACTCCTGGCCAGCTTTTGGTTGCCGTGCCAAAAGGGAGGTTGGTTGCATGGTTGAAAAAGCTGCTGGAAGCTGGGACCCGGTCGCTGGTACCTATGCCCTTTTTGCTTCCTTTCGGGAAGCATTTTAAGCTCGTGGGGAGCGCCTGTGGGTTTCCTTTGACTGAGCGAGCTAGGTTGATTCCCTCTGTTTAACGCTCGTTCTCTTCGAACACCAACCATGTCCTCTGCTTGTTTGGAGTGGTTTTCTGGCAAGTTGCTCCTGGTAAGCATGAGCAAGTTGCCCTTGGAATCACTTGTGGGGTAAGGAGCTGGAAGTCGACCATGGCAATTGACCCTCGCGAAAGCCCCACTGCACCATCATTGTGACCACTTTCTGACTTTAAAGCGGTGTTCTGGTGTGACAGAAAGTGGGATTCCCTAACCCCGCCATCTCCCACAACCATGACGGAAACGGTGATCAAACGTTGTGTCACCTTGACAAAACATGAGGAAAGTGGTGAACAAACAGCTAGCGCAAGCTCACGTGGCTTCATGGGTGTTTGAACATACTTTTTGTACATAGTTGCTGGGTAAATGACATCAAATGGCTTGCTGATGTTTGTAGCCCTCTCCCCACAAGTTGTGTATGTACGCGTAGCATATACATATATGTATGCTTGTATGCACAGTACGTATATCTATATATATATATATCTACAGTGTGTGTATGTATATATATATATGTATATATTATAATACCCCATCTAAAGTGAGCTGGACAACAAGGCAGCTGAGGGGTATAAGCTAAGCAGGTGCTGCCAGCCACCAAACATGGGTTTTGGGCCTCTTTGGGCGTGTCTCAGGCGGGGCGCATTGAAGGGGATACGTTGGGCCAAAAAGCAAAGAAATACATAATTTGTCAGAATGTAAGAACCCCATGAAACCCATAACGCCATGTTGCACCTATTCATTCCCTGCAGGATCTGGAAATCGAAACCTCTTTGAACCTGGGCGAGGGAACCCCCAAATCGGTGGCATCCTTTTGGGAAACAAAAGCAAATCCCAAAAGGGTACCCTCAAGTATTTGCCAAACGCTAGAAACCATTGGCTTTGCAAGTGAGCGTATCAGGGTCTCATACCAAGGATCTCAAGAGTAGGGACGCCCCTGCATTCCCGTGGTCCCCTTAAAGCCATGATAGCCATCCAAAAAGGGAGCTCTATGTGGAGACAAAACCATATAACCTCGGGGTCCCTTGTACTTGTAAAACCCTCGGAAGTGCACAATTCGGCTGTTTCAACCCAAGGGACATGCCTGACATGATCGCGCTATCGCGCTGTGAAACCGGGGATGGGACTTTGGAAATGGTGCACCCTTGGTGGCTGTTTAAAGTGAACCAAAAAGGAAACGCAAAAACAGGAATCGAGAGCTTGAGACTGCCCATGCCAAACATCTTGGGTTCACTTATTCATGCGCTCCCTTCTGCCTCGCTGTTTACATCCCCTACGGTGTTGATGACCATCAACCCCGAGTAAAAAGGCGGTTTGACCACGGCAAAGGGTTGATCCAGTCCAACTATTCGGGTACCAACTCCAAAAAAAGAGAGCACACCCCAACAAATTCGGGATCTCCCCCCGGCCAAAGCAAACAAGCTGTCTTGTTGGTTTGCCTTTAAACTCAAAAAACATGCAACCCCCAAATTTCGGGAACTCCCCCCCCGGACAAAAAGTTGTCCTTTTTGGCTTCCCTTTAAAAAAGGAAAAACAAGCCCCACAAAAAGTTGTCCTGTTGGCTTCCCTTTACACACACAACAACATGGCACACCCTCTGAATCGGAGAGGTTGGTTCGAGCCTGGGACTTCCAGTCTTTCAAGCCCTCGGGGGTCGCCACTTTCTTCTCGATCACAAACTTCGAGAACCTGAGCGCTGGAGATGCGCTCCCTACCTTCCCCCTCCCACCCAAGGCACAAAATGCCCCCCAAAAAAACAAAAAACAAAGTGCTCTGCGAACCCGCCGAGCGCATTGATGAGCGCGGAGCCGAGTATCGTTTCCAAGCAAGAGCTGGAAAAAAAAAACCGTATTAAAACTCTTATCCCAGGATGTTTTCATTGCAAATCCAAGCGGCGGTCTTCATAAGAGTGAGGTCCCCCAAAAACATGCCCCTTAAGTGTGTGAGGTCTCAGGAGTGTACACCGCTGCGTTGCTGGCTGCTGCTGCTGGCTGCTGCTGCTGCTGGCTGCTGCAACTCATTGCTGGGATCTGCAGAACAAAGAAAATGCAAACTACAGAAATGGGCCACTCCTGATCCAAGGCATCTACGACTTGCGCGCGACTTGCGCGCGACTTGCGCGCGACTTGCGCGCGACTTGCGCGAAAATTTAGCAATCTTCCGGATTCTTTCGACCATGCGGATGATGATGATGATGATGATGATGATGCTCCTGCCATTCAAATTACAAGCGGCGGCGCAGCTAATTTGATAGGTCTAAAAGACCTGGGATCATGCCTTACATTGACACATACAACGTTTTTGTTTTTTTTTTGTTTTTTCTCCGACTTCGCGACACAGCACATTGTCGCAGCGATGATGCCCGCGCTTGACGGTTCACTCACAATCGCGATGTCGATTGTCTTCATTGCGTAATTCGCAATGAGCAACGAGTCAAACCGCGACGACGGAGCGTGATGTTCTTTGCAATGCCGCTGCAGGCAAGCCCTCCAGGTAGTCAGTGGGCCTCCCACCCGCGCAGCAATGTGATTCCCCCCAAAAGAGATCCTGACCTGGAAGCTTCTGAACAATACCATGTTCAGATGAACTCCTTACATGTCCCGATTAAACCCCACAAGGGACTCTTTCATTTGCGGATACGCCCCCTACAAAAAAGAACACATCTTTCCAGTAGTAACAGATTTCCGCTAAAGTCAAGGAAATAGTACTAATAACATATGCTTATAAGCAAATGGACGGGTTTGCCCGGCATGGCGGTGTTTGACAAGGATGAATAGATTTGCTCGCAAAGGGCGTCTTTCCGCTGAATGCAGACTAGAAAAGGGGACCCTGCAATGGAGAACCCCGACCCATTCCGGGATCTTTAAAAATCACCATTGAAGACCCAAGCGCCGGAGCAGTCCGACCCAACAGTCGCAGTCTTCGAGACCCGGAGATAAACGGCGATCTGTGGCCTTCTTTTGGCATGACGAACGAAGCGAAAGCAGCATACCCCTCAATTCATTTGGAGCTTGAGCAGCCCTCCGGGTGACTCTGGAAAAGCCGGCTGCAATCATCTAGATGTAGACAACATCAAAAGATGCACCTGGAAGCAGCCATTCTCCTGTGCATAAAGTGTATTTGCCTTGGGTAACTGGGATGGCTCCGATTGGCTTTGTTCTGGACATGAGCAGCACCAAAAGCAAAGGTCATGCCCCCTTCCGCTGCAGACATCTCCAATGGAATACCCCGACCATTCAAGGGTCGTGAAAAGCCCATGTTTCAGGATCCAAAAACACTAAGGACCCTCAAAATGGTCCTTGTTTGTCAGGTTTACAAAGGCCGAATGCCTAGAATCCTACTGCTTGCGGGCGGGGGAGGTGCACATTTCTGAGACTAATCGGTCCAAGTCTTCCCAGCTTCCAAAATCTTCAATCCCCGCCTTGTCCAGTCCCTTCTGTGCGCTGATTGAACCATACAGGGCCTAGCTGTTCTTTGTTGCTTTTTATGTCTGTTTTCAAAGACCCTTGAGTGTCAAGGTTTTTCATTGGAGGGTCCGGGGGTCTGCATGGCATGACCTGGGCAAGGAGTAGAAACTCTTTGGCCCTAGCTCGTACAATCATTTTGGACTGCCGCTGATCGAAAAGGCGAAAACCGGATCAGAATTCGAACTTGCCCGTATTTCCACTAGTGCTTGGAGAATCACCAACATAAAGATACGCAAGGGCCAAGATAATTGCAAAACACCATACAAAGCAGCACCTGATCCTGAATGAAAAAACTGTGATCCCCTGACCACGAGTCAATTCGGTTTAGCCGTGCCCCCCACCCTCTAACTATCTAGGCCCCAGCATTCCTCAGTCTAAGGTCCTGACTGACATCTAGCCTTTCCTGCCACGTCGTCCGGCGCTTGCTCGAACTCGACCTGACATGAGGTGAGCCACGGTCTAAATGGCCCGTGTGGCTCGTTTTTTGAGGGTACCCTTGGGTAACATTTAAAGGACGCCCAAAGCAAAACCCACCTTTTTGGGAGTCGATTTCGGCACCCAAAATCCCGCCAGGTTCTCGAACATGGGACCGGTGATTTCCCAGGGCTTTGAACATGTGGCTGTTCAACATGGTTTGTGTTCGCCGATCCAAATCCATAATCCCTATTGGGGAACCACTAAGGGGTCCACTTTCGTAACCAAGGATGCCTTTGAGCCCAGCAACAGGTGAGCAACCGGAAACTTGGACTGGATCTCAGGTCTTTGGCGGCTTCTCAGCCCAGGCTTCGTTTCCCGAAGGATGCCTCCTCCCGTCTCCACCAAAAGGGTTCACCGATTGCCCCATGGAAGTGGATAGGTTTCCCTAAACTGGGCTGCCCGTTTTCTGATCCCCTGCGAAAAGCTTTTACCTGTGGGTTAAATGGAAACCCCCACTAAACACTAAAAGGCTAAAAAGCTAGGGGGATGGCTGGGAGCCACCAAGTTAAACGAAAGCTGTTCAAAACCCTCCTGTCAGACTCCTGTCAGCTTTCGGAATTGCTGGAGGAAGGATGCGTTCCAAACTAAATAAGCCATTCTGCCCTGTTTTGCCTCTAAAAACTCTCAGCAATAAGCCTTGCGCACAAGCCAAAATCAAAAAAAAGGACCTTACAAGCATGGACGAAGTTGGTCCTTTAACAGAACCAACGTCCATAAGTACCACCAAGCTTTCACTATTCCACCATGCTCTCGTGCAGGGTTCCATGAAATCCCTGCAACTACCCCACTGCAAGCAAACTGAGTTTAAGTTGGCCCAAAATGGTAATGTTTACGCCCTTATAAGCGGTAGGATTCCTGCGAGTTCTGTCGCTGCCACTGGTCAGCTTCTCCGCCCAAATGGTTTCCACCATTCCTAAGGCTTTAGTCAATTTCGCAGTCCCAAGGTAATTACTAATATTTGCCCAAGCCCCAAGTGGTAGCTTCAAGGGAAACACCGCAGTCTTCCGCTTGAACTTTAAGAGAGGCCTAAACACAATCGCCGCCGCCGGTCTCAACATCGGGCCCTTCGTTCGATAGTTCTATATAGGCACAAGGCGAGAGATTTGACGCCTGAAGGGAACTTAAGTTTTACAGGGGAGCAAAGCAACGTGCTACCTTAGCGTTTTGGTTATGTTCGCAAGGCTCGAAGCTAAGCAGAGCCACAAGTCCATGAGGTGTGTCTCAAAATAGGGAATCCCAGGGGTGGCTTCCCTCCCCAAACTGGGCACCCTCAAAAAAACGGCTCAATTGAGTCACAATCAAAAAAACGGTCTACCCAGAACCATGCTTCAAGAATTAAGAAGGCGGATTCCCGCAACTATACCTCTGGCTGGGACTGGCCCTTACTAACCTTCATCTACCCGAATCGGTTCTAACCGTGCTTCAAGAATTAAGGCGGATTCCCGCAACTATGTCTGGCGACTGCCCCTACTAACCTTCATCTACCCGAATCAGTTTTTTGAGCATGTGGCTCAAGTGGTTACGGTTTCATCTGGAATTCACGAAAGGGTTTCCGCTTCTTAAGAAAGGGTTCCCTTATTGGTTCCTCCCCAAAGCTTGGTTGCTGGTGACCCCCAAGCAAAAAGTGAATCACTTTTGGGGGTTTAGTACGGAAAACACATGTTTATTTCAACCAAAAAGTTAAAGTCTAAAGATCCGTTGCCCAATAGCAGTCAAGAAAGTGGCAGTTCTAATGGACACCGCAGGTACCCGCAAGCACGTGGCCTAAGTCAAGGCTCAAGGCTCAGCGAGCACCTGACTTTGGACCGCCCCGCCTCGACCACGGTAACGCCCTCCGGGAGGTTGTGTGCTTGAACCTCCCGCGAGGCTTCCCTATGTTTTCTTATCATAGGTGTCCTTTTTGGGGAAAAAGATGGCCCTGGCGGATGATTCACCCACAAGGAAAACCAGGGCCATCTATGTTTCGACCAAACCAACTAAAAAGGACACCTATGTTCCTTATATTTTGCAGGAAAGTGGGATGAGATCCATTCACCGGATCCCGCCAGAAACAATACCCAAAAAAACATTTTATTAAAAGGGGGATGGAAGGCAAGGGATTTGAAATGCCTCATGGCCATTCATGGTGATCCCAAGGAAGCAATGCCGCTTCCAAGTTGTCCATGTCCCAAGCCAGAGAGTTTAGGGTCCTAGGCGCCCCTGCGACATTCGGAGAAACACACGTTGAACCATCACACTTCCGCCAGCTCAAAGAAGGCTATACCGTAGGGGCCTCCGGAAAATCGCCAGACCCATGGCGTGTGATGACACTCCTTGATAGGGCTGTTGGGATTGAGCATAGACAACATGAACAACAACGGCTTGTTGCTGAATTGTGGTGCTTCTCTGACTGCAAGTCGGTTGCTGTCTGTTTCAAGCACCAGAAACAAGAAGAGCGTCTCGTTGACCAATGCGTGTCAACTGGCTCCGACAGTCCCAGGGCGCAGGTCAGGCCCCTACAAACTTGGCTCGCTTAACTTGCGGCTGCAATCATGCAACAACGCGTCACGCAACGCAAAGAAGACATAACATGATCAAGTGCCGAAGACGGTCAAACGACGAACCAGGCAGATGGTGACCATGTGTTTAACCTGTTGTTTGCACAACCTCTTTGCGAGCGGTGAAAAAGGTGGAAGGCGGCAAAGCTTCTTTTGCCAACGCGTGCATTTCGAGGCCCCGGGCAGATTGGAAGTACTGGTCATTGGTGCACCTGAAAAACTTGGCCACGTCGGGGGCACTCGGAAAAACAACCTATTTCGTAGTCAGTCTACCCGAACAAACAAAGTAGGCTTGGAGGATACCCCAGAAAAGACCCATCAGGACCCCAGAAGCACCCAGTGAATGCACATGCCGCAAAAACGCGATCCGGGTCCCCTCTTAAATGGGACACTGTGATCAAAACAAGGGACTCGCTGGCTTCCCATTGCCAGATCCCAATTTGAGAGACAGCCAGCTATTTTAGTTGCAAATCACTAGGCAGAAGTACGGGGCCATCCTTTTTAGGGTACCTGGGGTTGCCTTTTTAGGGTACCTGGGGTTGCCTGCAGAGAACCAAGAGCAACCACCTATTTTGGAGTCCCCTGTGAGAGGCATCCAAGTCGTCTCGGTGGGGTCTCCAGAACTGAGGCCAGCTACGAAGCAGCTGAGAAAAAGTGATGAAACAAATGAATGGAACCAAACAAGTCCTATGATCCCATAGCTGTCATCAATTCCTCGCGCTCCAAAATCGATTCGACTCTTTAGCTGCTCCCACCGATTTGAATCGCTTCGCTTGAATTGCCAGGTCCCATTCTCTGTCACTGAACCACTTTTTCCGGGACCAACCACAAAGCAACCAAACGCTTTGAGAACCCCAAAGCCAAGAAACAAGCTCCACGTGAGTCCGTAAACCTCGTGCCATGTTTGCCTCCTCGGTCCTGGGACGCCGGGCTTCACAAGGAGGCAGTGCCCCTCCTTGTTGCCTTCGGAAATGGCTTTGAGATCCCTGCAGAGCCTCGGCTTCCGATCAAACCCATCCGGGATTAACCGACCCAAGGGAGGCCCCGGACACTACCCAGCCGCAGGATGGTAAAACCTGACTAACACAAATGAAACCGCTGGTTCAAAACATCCCCCAGCTTGTCTGAGACTGCGAAAGCTGACAGGACCTCCTTTTGGGGAGGACAACCCCCCCTGTCCACTTCCATGATTGTTGGAAAAGGGATGATACTTAGATGGAACAGCTGTCATCTCCTTTTGGGACCTAGACTAACATGGAAAGCCAACCCGCCTTGTAAAGGTTCCAACGAACTTAATGTTCTGGGAAAGTCCCTGCAATCGTCTACCACATACTCGTTTGGGATGGACCGGGCATGAAAACCATAAGGCTGCAACATACATTGACATGATCATAACGTTCCTCAAAAAAGAAACAACACAGCCATGTCATCCATAGTTTGCCAAGCATCAACTTTCCTGAAACACATCATGCTGCCCGAAACCAAGCCAAACAATACACACATTGTTGCAGGTCATGTGGTTGCAGAGAGGCCTTTTTGCCTTTTTGCCACGGGATGGAGCTGAATGCCACTGGCGTTTTTGGGATCCGAGCTTGGTAGCCTTTGTGCCACACCAAACCAATTGCTGTGAATCTGCACAAGCGACCTTAGTTGGCGCAACTTTGAGGTGCCCTGAAAAATGGGTGGCTCGTCTTTAAGGTTGGACCGGTCGGTTTCCCTGTGAAACCACCCAAAAAGGGGGGGGTTCCCCCCAAAAGAGACGAGCCACCCAGGCCCCAAGCTCTGCAAGCCATGCGGGCCACGGGCCGCGGCCGCCTATGGGACCCTGGGACACTTGGACCGTCCCAAGATGGCTGGAGGAGATCCGAAACGGGACATGCTGTACCACTGCACTTGTCAAGCAAACCGCCGGCAAACCATACAAACAACCGACACCCATCACCCAGCTTTTTCAGGGCATGATCCCTGACTAAACCAGACGGATTTGTTTGCACGCAAACCTGTCTTGGTGTTGAAATACCCCAGACATGTGGATGCTTGCGAATAGGTTGCAAATTATGTGGGGAGGCTCTTGTTTCCAACTTGTATGTCCGAATCTTGCGGACCCCGTGGCCGGCATGTTAGTGAGTTATGTTCACCACTTTTGCCTCCCAACCGCAAAAATCAAGCGGCAACCAGGAGAACCGTGAGGGCCGCTGCCAAGCTTTCAAAGGGCCGCACTGCTTGGTAATGGAGTCGCCCCAGAACTCCGTCAAGTACAAGCCTGCAGCTTTCAGGTCTCTCAATTACATCTGGTCTTCCTACCTCTTTTTACACCTATATATAACTGAGTATGCTACCCAAATCATGCCTCCGCCTGGCTGTATTGTCGTCTTCTGAAAATAAAGGCAGTCACTCACAGTGAAGAAAGTTTCCCCATGCCCTGACCCCCACATGCCCATGAATTTCGCAGCACACACAGGTCGTCCAAAGAACTATGTGTGGCAACACCGATTCTTTGGTTGCAGCCAGATGCGTGGCCAAAAAACCCTCTGCAAACACGCTGTTTCAAAATACGACTCTACAGTATGGAACTCCATAGACAGATAAACGCACAACGACGAAAGCAACGCGCTAAGCGGCTCTTCAAAATGACCTAACGCGGACGAAATCCACATGGCACTCGCAACAGGCAGCAGTGGTTAGGCGGCGGCCTTTCTTTGTCTTGACCCGGGCGTTCATGGGCACGTCCCGCACCGGCTTCACATCATCGTAGGGCCGCACCACACCGTACAGACCTGGACAAAGCCCACGCCAGTGGCTTGGGAGTGTTTTGGGAGGATATGCCTTTTTAGGGTGCCAAAGTGGAAATCGGAAGGATTCCCAACACCCCCCAAAAAAAACAAAATCGAACACGAAGCCCCGTATTTGAAGCACAATCCACAAATTGGCACAGCAGATGACTACTTGGTTGCTTTCTGCTCCCCTGCCTAAAGTGTAACTTTTTGTGGTTTAATGGAAAACCCATTAGTTGGCAAAAAGTTAAAGTCCTATCATCCAAGCAGGATGCACCAAAGACTAATTAGTTGGGCGAAAAGTGGTTCCATTCCGCAATCCGATCGCTGAGATTGGCGCCTGACAGAATCCTCAGGTGTTTCTCCGCATACTTCCGGTGCTCCTCGGAGAAGTCGCCATCAGGCTTGGATTCTGGAACCCGCCGACAAAGCAAACAAACCCGGGTAGTGCAATACAACATATTCAGAGACCCGTCGTTGGCTTTCCTTGAAACAACACCATATCATTCGGCATTTACAAAACTGGGCCAAATCCCCGCTTGAATCTCCTGAGCGGACACAGGATCACTTAGGCGACGATACTAACCACTTACAAGTCGCTAGGTGAAACCTGCCCTCAAACCGCCCCAAAGCTAGCACTGCCTAAGACTCATAGGCTCATAGCTGTTGGGAAAGCCCCGCCAAAGCGGTGATTCCAAAGACGCTGCCCCGAAACTGGTGGAACAAGCACTATCGCTGACCCTCAGTGCCACGGAGTAACACTTCGGCTGACTCCTCGCCCCACTCTTCCGCGCCCATATCTGCCGTGAGAGCCAGGACAGCCTGCGATGGAGACGCTGCCAAGGTGGGCTAGCCCACTCCCTACCCTGGCTCACATCGGCACACAGAAATAATAAGCTCATACATGTTGCCTCAGACTCTGGATGGACGAAACCTTGCACTACTTGGAAACCATGAGAAACCATTGTTTGTTAGTGTTGGCAGCGGAATCATCATTCCAGGGTTTCTTAGGTGGTGCGAAATGGGTTTCGCCCGTCCACAATACTTGGCCTCACGGCCCTAAAGCATAAACTAGTTCTGGAGCAGACGCCAGCTACACCCGTAGCCCCGACTTGAAATAATATTTGCCGGGTAAATCCTGGTTGTTCAGCAGCTGCCCTGTGATAGTGCTATTTATTTACATTTTGACCCTCCTCCCTCGGTTTGCAAGAAACAACATGACCCTTGAGTACACACCTCATTTGGAGGAAATCAGGGGGAGGAGGCGTCTAACCAAACTTGTCTATTTTGACCTAACGAGCCAGCAAGACAAAGTGAACAGGCAAGCGGATTTGTTCGGTTTTTACTGACCGGATGCAGAAACGGAGCAGCACAAAGATTAGTTACTCAGTTTGCAAACTCAAGTGTAAGTCAGTGCAAGCATAACTCGTCACGGGAGATACAAACCACCAATCCAAAGCTTTCCCCCAACCTTCAGGCTTGGTTCGGCATTGATCAGCCTTGATCGTCGTTGAAACACAGCCCCCAACCTGTGTTGCGCATGTGTTTGGGTTGGTTTGTGGCGCCGCCGCCCCCCCCCCCACATGTGAAGGTGTTCATCATATGTGCTTCTTCTGCCTTAGTTTGTGGCCCAGCAAGGTAAGACCCTTTCAGCCATAACGAGTTTCTTTTTGATAAGCCAATTGAGCTTTTTGTATGGCATTCTTTTCCAGGCTGTCCTCCGATCCCCTGCTGAAAGTTTAACTTATAGTGAGTGGGTCAAATGGAAACCCCCACTAAACCCCTAAAAACTAAAAAGCTAAGGGGATGGCGTGGGGTCCATGCCATGCCACGTTTGCGTCTATTCTGCAGCCAACCCCCCCGAAAAACCATACCCTAGACAACCAATTGGCAAGATAGACTCGACTCGTGCCCATACAGGTAGCCTCCATTTGCTAAGCCCCCTAAAAAATGAACATATTCTGCAGTAGTCACAGATCACGTTTAAAACCAAACTGAGAAAATCACAACATCTTCTTAACCACGGGGAAGATAGGGTCCATCTTGACAAAATCCCCGGCCCCCGGCCCCAAACAAGGCAAGAGCAAATGGATCGATGCATTCGATCCTGCTTGGGTGGAAGCTTCTCGAAGGTCTTGAACCTCTCCAGGTGGCTCTTCCTCGGCCAACTTTCTTACTTGGATCAACACCCGGAGAGACCTGACCGAAGAGAAACAGACCTAGTAAAGAAATCCCGAAAGTAAACAAAAAGAAGAAAAAAGAAGAAGAAGAAGACAAAGAAGAAGAAGAAGAAGAAGCACAAGCAAAAAAAACAAACGCCAACATGGTTTTGAGAGGAATCTTCGGTTGAGTAACCCATTATCGTAAAATTACAGCACCAAGCACATGGAAAATCACCTGAACCCATGCCGGGTCATGCCATAACTTGAAAGCAATTGATCAAATCACCAACTCAGGATTATCCTAGATCTTTGTCTGTCATTTTTTGGGATGGTTCCCTTTTAACAGTCAGTTTTAACGGGAGACTAAAAGCAAAACCCACCATTTTGGTGGGTCAGCTAAAGAAAAGACTCGTTCGTATAACTTGGATTTTCCCAAGGTTATCTTCCGGTTGGCTTCCCTTTCCGATATGGGCCCAAAGCAGTCAAAGGCAACCCCCTGGATGTTTCTTAGAACCTTCTTGGTAATTAGGGCTTATACGGTCTCCGAGAACCTGGGGGGTGGGGGGGGAAGGGAGTCAAAAAAGGAAACTCACTGAGTTGATTGGTCAGGAAGAAACACAAACATACCTTGTGCTTGCCACTCGCTCATATGCCCATCTAAACTCCGACAAATATTTTCAAAGACTCGGCACCCAAAGAGACACTTTTGGGTCTGTTTGTCTTTGTTTTGTTACAGTTGGACCCCCAAAATTAGTGGCTTTTCTCTTGGCTTCCTTCCCTTTAAAACCGAAGGAAAAAAAGAAAGGGGTACCCTCAACAAAAAGTGACACTCTCTTTTAGACACCAGGGGAAGTAAGACCAGGTGAGACCCTGTCCGCAACTTCTCTGAGCGTCGACATTTTGTCGCCGAGGCCCATGATGCCTCTGATGCCTTGGATCGAGAGTTGTGCAACCGAATCCATTCCACAACCGCATCGTAGAGGGATCCGGATGCATTCTACACCTGAACATTGCAACTTGTAAATGGTGGTCTCCCCTCTTTCTCTTGGTGTTGAAAAAGCAACATTTTTCAAATGGTTGCAAAATGGAGATCTTTTAAGGAGCACTGTATGACGTGCCGGAAAGCCCCTTTGCAACAAAGGACGGAGGCAAGCCCAACTATGTGCGCGGAATATGTAGATACATGCATATATGTCGTATGTCTTCTTGGTCTTTGGGCTTTGGCAATAATTCCTGAGCAATGTACTTAGCAAAGAACATGCGGGATGGAAGTCGGAAGCCCTACACAAACTCCCAAGCTGAAAAACCATGGCCCATCAACCGATTGATCATCTCGAGTCCGGCATGTTCCCTTCAAAGGCCTTCCGCGCGGCTATCTAAATTAATGAATCAAAAACGCCTGGCTTGCGATTGAGACGTTGTGGTCGGCGCGGTGACGCAAACAAACGGCCCCGTGATGCGTACGGATTCCCGCTCAAAAGAGGCACAGCCCCTTATGCAGTTCCATCTGCTCAAGGCTGCAACTGAAACATTTCAACTACAATCAATCATTCCTAATACACACACGTGGATAACTTGTCCAACAGTCAATGAGCTCCCGGAATCATTTGCCCAAATATGAATATCCTACCCACAGCTCTTCTCTTTCAAACGCACCAAACAAGCAGCAGGTCTCACCAGGTTTGTTTCCCAAGCAGCGTGCCCGGAAGGTTCCGCGAACCTTCTGGCACAAGTTGGTCCGAGTTCATCTTGGAGCTGATTTAAGCCAAAGAAAAACAAGGGTTGGCACACGCGGGAAAGCCAAGAATGACCTTCGGCTTTGCTTTCGTCAACAAGCTTCCGGTCAGCACAGCTTTTCTCACCGCCTGCCTAACTGCCCGGCTCGGCTGGGTCTGGGGATTGCGGCTTCTTGGATTTCGAGCGTTTATTTGGCTCGTGACAATGGTGCCCATTGCAATATCTGCCCTTTACCCATGCTGACATTCATAAGGCCATGGTTGCAAAGGTAGCAATTGGCAAAGGGCACCATTGCTACCAACGGATTGGTTTGTTGGAAGGCTCAACTTTTAGCTAAAGCGAAATATGAACTTTGCTACTTTGGCACTGTGAACGTGCTACTGCCAAAACATATATTATGGGCATGAAATTTACTTGGGGACCCTTTGGGTGCTTCCCCATTTATCTCGTGACGATATCTTCTTGCTATATTTCCTGCTTGATCTTCAATCATGCAATGTCCAAGTTGGTAAAGTCCCATCACAAAATCGGGGTACATCCATCCATGGACAAAGTCCATTTCGCACCGATGGATGAAACCGTACCGGTGGTTTATTCACCAAGCCCACCTGGTGCCTGCCCGGCGTGGATTTTGTGCGAAGAGAAACCTCTGAAATAGAACGTTCCCTCCCAGGCCGGGCAATTTAATGGAATTTGGTCTTGCACAACTTGGTTCGTTCGTCCCTTACTGGAACATGTTTCTGTTGTTTTGCATATTTTGTCTAACAAAGACAATCGGTGTGATGTGTGTTAAATCTCTCCAATTTCTCAAAGACCAAACGTCTAAGGGTAACATGTCATACATCAAAACAAATCCCTCTGAACTCTAGACATCTGAGCATTACTTAACATCTAACGCACATAACGGCTGGGAACCGCTAAGACAAATCAGCAAGCTCTTAGACCACTTAAAGGCCGCTCAAGGCGAGAACCGCCAGCTGGGCGATTGGCCTGTGTGTGCCATGGTCGAACTCATCTGTCTCTGTGTTTGCTCATGCGATCAAAAGGAACTCCTTTATGAGATATTGTGTCACCGGCAACAAGTGCTTTGTCTTCTTCAACCCCTGCAACCCTGCATTTCTTGGATATAGAGACACTGTGACGCAGTCATTCCCCAAAACGATAGCCTCAAGCATCGGTGACTCGGTGACAACCCCCGGCTCGCTATGGCTCTTGAACTAATTGGAAGCCTTCCAGAACGGAAGGACGCTTCACCTTACTCAAAGCACTACCAAGGGAAACTCAGCTGGGGACCCAAGAGAGAATCATTGAAACTTGTTTTTTTCCCGGATGCGCGAGTCAGCTCAATGTGTTCCAATGTCTTTGAGCTGTCCCCGCTTCAATTGGGCCAAAGTCTTTCGGCCATGGCACGTGGCAGAGATGGTCTGGCTGCGTGCCCTAGATGCTATCCGATTGGTCGACTCGCTTCATTCACTCAAGCTCTTTTTGTCTGGTTTCGACGATACTCTGGCTTAGGACTTTAATGGCAACCTCAAGGGAAGCCTCATATTGAGACACCCATAGCTCACATCAGCTTGACACGGACCGTTTTTCACCGAGCTTGGCGCGGTAACACCTTCAAAGGGCGGTCCCTAAATGGAGCTTCCGCGTAAAATCTGGATTTGTGGGGTGCCATGTGAATCTTCGGGACATCCCCGAGCAAAAGATGGTTTAGGTTTTCTTATCCCAGGCCACAAAATCAACGCTCACACCCAGCGAGCCAGCAGCCAGGCGCTAAGCAACTGGTGAGACAGGGTCTCGATCCGCAAGTGGATGGCTGGATGAGCGGCCACTTGCACCTACTGATTTAAATACCTGGGGATTGAAAAATTAAATGTCCACAAACACCCGATTCGGGTAGATTGAGGTTAGTAAGGGATAATTACAACCAATTGGGTGCAGGCCGTGGTGCTATTTCTTGCATGGTTGTGGGTAGACCATTTTAGCATCAGTTTTAGTTGAGTCTCAACCACGAGGATGATTTAGAGGATGTCTCTTTTCCACTTGATGGACTTTGGGAGTTGTCTTTCAACCACAGTGTTCTTTTGATCAGTTAGTCTTGTTGGAAACAGAGGGGTCCGCTGGTTTATATTGGTTTTACGCCCCATTTGCCCAGGACCATCGATTTTCCCAAAAGGTCACCTGTACTTTCAACCACTCGCAGGATTATTTAGAGGATGTCACTTGTCATTTTAGCACTTCCTGATGGACTTTCCGATTTTCTGGTTTGGACCGCTTTAGCAAACAAAGTAGACACTGTTTGGCCAATCCACTCAAGTGTTTGGCCAATCCGCTCCAGTGTGTGCAGGTTTGGAGAATCCCCTTTAAGCCGTAAATGGACATAGACACTCCCGCCCTGACCATTTATTTGGGTGTGGGTATACCCCCGGAATACCAAGTTTGTAACTCAGGTAGAAAAACACAAGTCTGACACCTTCCGTTCATGGGGTTGATTCTGAGTACCAAGTCTTGTCACATACTTTACATGGGGTCATGGCCGCACTATTTATGGATCATTGAGACTGCAGATAGTTTCGCCTTGTGACAAATGAGGACCACAAGATCGTCTGCCTGCAGTTGAACGCATGGAAGTCGGGTTCTAGGCCCAGTTTTTTTGAGCCCTCAGAAAGTTGTAGTGAAATCGATTCCCTTCAGGACCAACAAGGGAAAATATCAAACATGTTCATTTCAGCACATTGAAGACCTCTTGTCAATTTACCATGGATGGTTTCCGTAGTTGTCCACTGTAGCGGCATGCCTGGGAGCACTGGGCAACGTCTGAATTTCAGCAAACGGAAGAAGTTGACCTGGGCTGCCTTCAGATCCCCTGCTAAAAGTTTAACTTTTAGTCGGTTGAATGGAAATCCCCACTACACCCTAAAAAGATCTAAGAAGCTAAGGAACCGGATGGCTGGGAGCCACCATGTGACCGAGAGGATGCTCAAAGCCGGGACCTCAGCTTCGCCAAGTAGAAGCCGGCGGCGAGGCCCAGGGTCAGGCCCAAAGCCAGCGGTCCCAAGGGCCGCGCCAAAGGCACCTACGAAACGGTCTCTGACCAACCAACCAGCCAACTAGCAAACCAAGCAAGCAAGCAACCAGCCAACCAACCAGCCAGCCAGCCAAAACATAAAAAACAACCAAGCAACCGGCCAGCCAACCAGCCAGCCAGCCAACCAACAAACCAAAACCAACTCATCAGCCAACTGACCAACGAACCAACGAACCAACTAATCAGCCAACCAAGCAACCAACCGCTGCGAGCATGACTCCGCCAAATATAATCTGGAGAGGTTCGGAGTAGTGTTCCGGAAGGGTTCCGGCAGGACTCTGGCAAGCCGCTTGGAGGACTTTAAACACTTGGAAGCCAAGCCACCCTTGGAGTTTGCACATTTCTTGGTTCAGCAAGCAGCTGGTCACCCGGGAACACAAGGAGGTTGCTCAAGGAGGTTGTTTGAACATAAGTATGGGCAAGGAGGTTGTTCAACAATCTTGGCTATGTTGATTGAACATAAGGAGGTGGCTCAAACAATAGTGGCTGTTGTTTCATGTGTCAAAGGGGCACTGTAAGGGTCCAAGGGTCAACGCCCTCATGAAAGTGAAAACCGCCTGGATATCCAGCGAACCGGACAAGCCCAACGAACGGCTCTGAGCAACCCTGGTTGCCTTGGAGTCTGGGTTTCCAAGGGCACCTTGACTGCTAAATCTGCTAAACCAACAGCAAACCAAACAGATTGCCAGGCACTCACCAAGCCCTTATCTTTCACTTGCCCATGTTTCCCCCCTTCACTCCCTCCTCCCCTTCCCCTTCCTCCCCCCTTACAAATCATGTACCTCCTTCGCGAACAAACATGGGATCCATAGAAAGTCTGAGGGAATCTGCATTACAGCCTTTGACCCGAATTAGAATTTGCCCCATGGGTTCCGTGCAGCACCCGGGAAGGATGTCATGCCAACCTCCAAATTGGTCAGGCTGCCAAATGAGGGCTTCGGGGGGAAAAACGACCTCACCCAGCCCCTGTGTGGCTGTCTAGCAAAATTCCATGTACCACGAATAGCAGCAGCATGTTCTTTTACCCTGGAAAATCGAAGCTCAAAGTTGTTTGGCCTCCCTTGTCAGTAGGCTTACCCTGTTGCCAATTTAGCTGCAACCCTATG